GCCCTTCTTATTCGAGACTTTCAATCTTCTTGATTTAAGTAAAGCTTTAAAGGAACTAATTTGGAATTCCCCATTATAGGAAAGAGAAGAAGTGCATTTGTGAGGCAATTCCACTGCTCAATTATTGAGAAGACCTATCAGACATGAGCCTGCCGACAGATTTAAGAGACTGACAATTCTAGGGAGTTTTGAATGGTTGCTATGTAACCAGGTTTTTTAATGAGAGGCTAAAGGTTAATTGCCTAGACTCAGTCAGGCTGTTGGGTCAGATAGAGAGCTGGTGACTTTTAGGCAATGTCAGGAAATCACCCAGATAGAGAGGTGTCAATTTTTCCACAAACTGTATCCAGCCCTTTGAAGGGACAAACTGAAGGTAAAGCAGAGAGGGTGGGGGAAGGGGAAGGAAGGAAGGAAGGAAGGAAGGAAGGAAGGAAGGAAGGAAGGAAGGAAGGAAGAAAGGAAGGAAGGAAAGAGAGGAAAGAGAGGAAAGAGAGGAAAGAGAGGAAAGAGAGGAAAGGAGATGGCTGGCTGGTCCTCAGGGGAAAATGCTGCCTCTTCGGTAGGGAGTACTCCAAATTTGCTGAATTTCATGGGTTCCTATTTAGGTGCCAGCTGTGGATCTCCTCTTTCTGGGGGTTTGAGTGCAAGGGGAGCTGAAGTGGCAAGCAGGGTTTGAATGGTCATAGGTATGGTGTAAAGACTTCTGGAAATCAACTTCAGTGATTAAGGTATATAACTTCATATATACCATCAGGCATAAGGTATATGAAGGTTTTTGGAGTTATAGGCTGAAAGGGCTGTTTGATCATAATACAGTACCTAATTATTATACAGAAGAAGGGCTAAGCTGGACTTATGTGCTAAACCATGGAGCACTTACAGGAAGCTTTGTGCAGAGTCATCCTCCAAATGAGGTCAGGCATCTGTGATTGGAATTCTCTGTGTAAGAGAGTTACACTCTCTGTGTAACTTACACTCTCTGTGTAAGTTCAGGCCGGGAAGAGGAAGAGGAAGAGGAAGAGGAGAAAGCAAGTCCTCTCTTTTGTGCTGCAATTTGAGAGCTTTCAGGACATGGTGAACTGCAATCTAATGCAGGCTCTTCCAACAGCTATGAAGAATAGAATTAAAAAACAAAAACTTAAGTTACAAAATAGGCACCCTCATCAACTAGTGTTCTAGGGAAAAGAGAATATCCACATATAAAAGAATGAAACTAGGTCCAAAGCAATGAATTATTGAACCTTGACTGTGTGCAATTACAATAGTGATAAAATGCAGGCATAAATTAGATTTACAATTTAGGAAAAGACTCTTCTTTAGTTTCTTTCTTCAAGGCTTGAATTTTGTCTTACAAATCTTTAACCTGCTTGATTAGTGTAACTTCAGATATTTTTTATTGTTTGTAGCTATTGTAAAAGAAATAGTTTACCTAATTTCTTCCTTAGTTCATTTGTTATTTGTATATAGGCAGGATGGATGAATAGATGAATGAGTAGATGATAGATAGATAGATAGATAGATAGATAATGCATGCATTCATACATACATACATACATACATACAAACATACATTGAAGTTATTTATCAGATGTAGGAATTCCATGGTAGAATTTTTGGTGTGATATATATATATCACACCAAAATATGTATATGTATATGTATATGTATATGTATATGTATATGTATATGTATATGTATATATATATATATATATCCATCCTTTGGAAATAATGATACTTTGACTTCTTCTTTTTCAAGTTCTTTTTTCTTTATCTCATTCAGTTCTATTATTATTCTAACTAGAACTTAATGTACTACGTTGAACAGGTAAGGATTGGACAGCCTTGAGCTGTTCCTAATTTTAGTAGAATTACTTCGAGTTTCTCTTCATTTTCAGTATGTTTAATTATGTTTCTTGTGTTCCAAATCTATCTATAACTTGTATCATGAATGGTTTGGATTATGTCAAAGGCTTCTAATGCAATGATAATACAGATTCTTTTTTTTTCCAGTTTGTTTATAGAGTGGATTACATTGATTTTCTTAAATTGAAAAGTTTCTGAATTTCTGTGATGACACCTACTTGGTCGTGTTGAATCTTTTTGATGTGTTCTTGGTATTGGTTTGCAAGCATTTTATTGCATAGTTTTTGTATTTGTATTCTTAAGGAAACTGGTCTCTAATTCTCTGTCTTTTAAAAAAATTGTGGTTTGGATATTAAGGTGACTGTGGCTTCGTAAAATGAATTTGACAGCATTCCTTCTGTTTCTATTTTGTGAAATAATTTGAGTAGTGTTGCATAAAAACTTTTTGGAAAGTTTAGTAGAATTGTGTGTTAAAATTGTCTGGCCTTTGGCTTTTTTGTTTGGGATATTTTAGTGACTGTTTCTATTTCTTCAGGAGTATAGGCCTATTTAAGTTGTTTATCTGATCTTGATTTAACTTTTGTATATAGTATCTATTGAAAAAAATTATCCATTTCATTTAGATTTTCCAATCTTGTGGAGTACAAGTTTGTAAGCAATGACCTAATGATTTCTTTGGTTTCTTCATTACCTATTTTTATGCCTCCCGTATATTTCTGATTTTGTTAATTTGGATATTCTATCTCCATTTTTTAGTTAGTTTGGATATTGATTTATCCTGTTGATTTTCTCAAATAATGAACTCTTTTATTGATTCTTTGAATTGTCTTTTTTTTTATTTTATTGATTTTGGATGTCAATTTGATTATTCCTTGCAACCTATTCTTTTTGTGTATAATTATTTCCTTTTTTATAGAGCTTATAGGTGTGCTGTTAAGTTGCTATTATAAGATATCCACAGCTTTTGGATGTAGGCACTGTCTGCTATGAACTATCGTTTTACCACCACTTAGATTGTGTTTCATGAATTTGGGTGTGTTGTGTATTTATTTTCATTGAATTCTAGAAAGACTTTGTTTTTAATATCTTCCTTGAAAGCATGAAAATACAGAAATATTCTATATAGGCGCTCTAGTGATATGAAAGAAAGTAGCCCCAATTGGATTATAGGGAATGATGCTTTTAAAAGATGTAGTCTTGTTGGCTTGTTGGAAACAATTTTTCACTATGGGTTGGCTTTGAACTTTCATGAGCTCAGGCCAAGCCTAGTGGCTCATTGTCTCTTCCTCCTGCTTATTGATCCAGATGTAGAACTGTCAGCTACCTCTCCAGTACTACATCTGCCTGCATGCCACCATGCTTCCTTCCATGATAGTAATTGACAAAACCTCTGAATATGTAAGCCAATTCCATTTAAATGTTTTCCTTTGTCAGAGTTGCCATGGGCATGGGAGTTCCTTCACAGCAAACAACTCCACCTAACAACATTCATCAGGGAGCTCCTTTCCCAAAACATAGTATTGTTTCACCATCTATTTATCCTGCCTTCTGCATGGTACACGGTTAAGGTACGAATCAGAAAGCTTTTGTTAATTCTTCTGATCATCCACAAGAAGATATTTCAACAACAACAATAAGCCTCTCCTGAGAGTGCCATTGTAGAAAATTATTAGTTTACTAATAGTAACAAATGTAACCAGAAATTAGTTTTGGGTTATTTTCAATCATACACCAGTCTCTGTTAGCTTAAGTTGTATTCATTTTCCAGTGACTCTTCATATATGTGGTAAATATGGGCAAGTCTTGATTTAAAGGCTCAAAGCATTTTGCCCATCAACATGTGAATACCCAAGAGAAGTCTTACACACATAATGATCTTGAGAATGATTTATGAATCCTCACACTTTTTTGACACAAATGATACTATAGTTGTAATAAGATGTCATAACCACAAATATTACTCTATTGACACACTGGAGAAAAACTTTATGAATACAAAACTGTGACAAGTACTTTAATTTGTGTTCAAACTTCAAAGTCCAATAATGAATCCACCCTAGAAAACAGTGCACAAAAGAGACTGATAAAAGAATTGGAGAACTCATTGCTGAGTATGTCCAGTCCTTAAACATTGTCAGTAGAAACACTGTGTCAGTACTTGCTCATTGCCTGACCTAGTTTTATACCATAAAAGTTTTATTTTCATTTGTTTCTAGGAAATCATCTTTTCATTTTCAATTCTCAATAATTATGTATAACTGTACATAGTATGTCATCTATCTTCTGTTTCCCATCATCACACTAAACTACTGGAGTAGTGGGATAGAAAGAGACTATCTAAGCATCTGTTAAATGCCTGGAGAAGTATTTGACATGAGAGAAATATATGGCAATATAATACATAAAAAGGCTTGCATATATACCAATATCATGGTTATGACATTGTATAGTAATAGTAGTTCAACATTCAATAGTGAGTCCTTGTTTTTGAGACATTCATAAATATATGTATATATATATTTATTTATATTTTTGTATGCCAGTGTGTGAGTGTGTATGTATATATATATATATATGACAGGAGTCACATGTTACACATTCTTCCTTTTATTGGAACTACAAGGTTATCATCATAGAGGAAGTCCGTCTAGGAGAACCACTTAGACCATGTAGCATATGGGCATTCCATTTAAAGACAGATACTAGATTCTAGTGTGATGGCTAATGAAACTCTATTTACTTTTAGGTATCCACCTTAGTACCCACTAGCTATTTGTCCCTGACGCTGGTCCTTGAATGATAAGTTCCCAGTGATAAACCTGAGTACTAGTGTTTTGCAACAGGTATACGTATGCTCTGTGCCTGTTGCCTGCTGAGGTTTAAAAAAAGCCTGAGATTGTAGTCATTTTCCTTGCCTTATTAAATATATCATTCCATGCTCTTTTGCCTGTAAGAATGTTAACAAGTTTTCTGGTATCTTTTTCATTTTTTGTGTCTTTTCATATGGATTGACATTGTCTGTGATAGAGTTGTATTAATTTTGGCTTTTAGTTTTTGAAACCTTGATGTGAAATTTCAATAAGGATTCCAGTCTATATTCCTGAGGCAAAAACTTAGAGAAGAACAAGAGGAAGGATGAATGCTTCTCTGCAAAATGCTCCCCAGGTCAGTGTCCTGTCCACCTTTCTTTGAAAATTACTTTTATTTTTTAAACCATTCAAGACTTTAGTTCTCTCGCTCTGGTAATCCTATCTAAAGTATTTTCTGTGATTTATCTTTGTTCTTCTCCAATAATCAAAATTAAGTCTTTTGATCTTTCACTTATAATGGGCTAAGCACAGCCTTGTCCCATTATATTTTTACTGGATTTAATACTATGAGGACATAAATTTCCAAGGACTGAAGACCTGCATTTCTGAAAAAGAATAAATGTATTGTAAATGATGCTCAAAGAATATGTTGATGGATAATACATTGGATAGACTTGTGTCCTTTCATATTAGTGGGAAAGTACAGTCTCATGTGGCACATAAAGTACATTTCAGGATTAGTCAAGTTTCCAGAAACAACCTTGTGACTATGAATTTGCACAGATCTAGACACTGACATCACTGAGCAATACATGGAAGAACGGAATTTATGTAAGAGTAGAATTAGAATACACCCACTATCTTGAATCCTAATAGCAAATATTTCACTTCCCTACTGGTGGAGATGATGTAAAGAATATATGGCTTTCTTTTGCTATAAAACTGATGTGTTTGAGATGAGATGCAGATGACAGTATTCTGGTATATCTTTTCATCATTTTATGTCTCATAGTGATCACGGGTGTTCACACATGAAAAATCTGTTTATCTTAGAAGAGATTCTGCCCATTGGTAAGTTTGACAATGTACAGATGAATATTTTCTTTTTTATTTCTTTTTTTTAGAAATAATGTAAACACAACTGTCTTTACCTTTGTGTGTAGCAACACATAGAATGCATTAGTAAGAACTTTCTGGAGAATATTGCCTTGGTACTTTGTATACGCCACCATATTTTCCTCTTAATTTGTTCTCTTCTATTATAAGCATGAAGAATGTTCCATACACACTATGTTTTTTCTCTCCTTCATGCTATGTATTATGTAGGTTAAAAACTTTGAAGTGTTGTGAAGTTGTATCTTTACAATATATTTTTTAAATATATAAGTGTTCATCTGCATAGTTTTATGTACTCTGAATGATACATTATGCCCCTGAATCCCTAAGTGCAGCATTAAGTCCTTGGAACTGAAGTCAGACATGGTAATCAATGGGGGTAGGAAGAAAAGAAAAGAAAGTTAAAATTACAAGATTCATATTTTCACTTAAGTCAATCTCATGAGCAATAATGTTTTAAAATTTCCTGAAAAATTAATATAATTCACTCTCAATTTAAAAAGTCAACTTGGTCTAAGAAAATGGTTCTACTTTATCTGAATGCACCATCTCCATTTATTTACAGATACATATCTAATTATTCTGTAGTGAAAGACCATATGAATTTGTGAAATTATTATACACACACACACACACACATATATATATATATTTACTTATGTCTAATAGTGTTTTTTCTATTTACTTTATAGTTGTAAATATAGTCTCATAAAATACCTTTACAAAGTACTTGATTCTGAATGTGCTCTCTACTGTTACATGTCTTTTATGCTTAAAGAAAAAACTGTAATTCTTAATTCATCCAATAGTTCTGCATTTCATATTCAACATTTTTGTTATAGAAAATGTACTTCATTGAACCTAGGCCTTAGGAAGCCAGCCTAGGATGTTAGGATTGTGTCAAGTGAGTCGCAGCTGCAGACAGGATTTATATAGTGTCTATAGTTCTGCAAGGCTGAAAATTGTAGTATTTAAAAGCCCAGTGATACTCATTGTAACTTCATCATATGTGATATGACACTGGGATTCTATTTGATAGCAGCCCATACTTCATAAAGGTACATTCTTGCAACTGGATCACAAATGTGTATGTTGTATCCTGTAAAAGTTTACTGATTATGATTCTATTGTACCATCCTGTTTCAGAGAAATAGAAAATACAATAAAGAATATGACTATATATAGCATCCTTTCTTAAAATCAAACTTCAATTTTCTTTTATTTATGTTGGTTCATTTCCCTGAATGTATTCATATGTGCTGTGTACTCCTTCAGCCTTTAGAGTTCAGAAGAGAGCATTGGATTTCAAAAATTGGGATGAAAAATCTGTTGTGAAGTTTCAGGCGGATGCTGGCAAACAACTTTGGATTATAGAATCTAAACTGCAGACAAATTTTCAAGTAACGTTATGATGGCAAGCCCTTCAACTGCTGATAAGGTCTTAGAAAACATCAGAAAATTCATGAAGAGGAGAGACCTTATGAATGTAAGCAATACAGTATTTAATTCTAACATTGTATATATAAGAGCAGCAGTACTTAGCTTCTGATACATTTCACAGCACTTCTAAAAGATGTTTGTCCTTGAGTATTTGTCATGGCTGATCTTTGTCACAAAATACCTCATATTCTTAGGGCTTTTATTTTTTACCTAGGAAAACACTTTAGACTGGTAGCACATGGTAAACAGGTAATTTTTCCATTATAGGGTCTGTTAACATTCAAGGATGTGGCTGTGGACTTCTCACAGGAGGAATGGGCATGTCTTGACTCTGCTCAGAGGGCATTGTACATGGATGTGATGTTGGAGAATTACAACAATCTGCTTTTTGTGGGTAAGAATACTCTTCATGTAGAATGCCTGCTTCATTCTCTAAATTTAACAATCGTGTGTTTACATAAACTCTCTGAAATGTCTAAGACTCCACAAATAAGGAAAATTCTAGTTACCAACATAACTTTCTCATTGTTTTTGTTTTTAATTGTTTTGTTTTTTTCTTTCCATTATTTGGAAGAGGAACAAGTGTTATATTTTGTGTGATTTCTCTAAACCTCTTATCTATTTTAATCAGCAGTTTCAATTGGTTAATTTTAATTTTACTATTGCATTCAGGTCTTCACTTTGTTATGAATTTGAAAACTGCAGAGGCTTTTAAATAGAAGAATTGCTGTTGGTTGTGAGAATTTTGTTGTTGCTTATTTACTTTTCAACATGTGGTCTCTGTATTTAGTAAAGACACAGCATGGTCTTTATATTATGAATTCCATATGAGTATGGATTACATAATGAATTTCTAGCTGACCAAAGCTATACAGTGTCACTCTGTCACAAAACATAAATAAGAGAATAGAGAAACATCGTTTATATGATCCTACAGAGAGCTCTTCTCTGTAATTCTCAATCTTCCTTTAATTCTACTTTCTTCAAAGTACAGTGTTTAAATAAGAATTATTAGGTTATTGCTGTTTGCTGTCATTTCATATAGATGAGATTTCAGGTTCTTTAGATTGTCCATGTAATGACTATGAAGCAAGAAAGGCCTCTCTTCAGAGCTCTATCCTTGCAAAGCAGTAATTGACCTTAGAAAACATCAGCAAACATGGGACATTGTCTTACTTATCCATTAATCCCTGTCATCTCTACACTTTTTCAGAGAATCATCGCGTATGTCATCAATATGAGAGTGTTCAAGACACACAACATATTGTTGATGAGCATGTGAGTATCCATGAGAAGTCTTATAAATATCATGAGCTAGGCAAAATCATTCGTAAATCCACTGAATGTATACCTTATAAAACTAACCTTGAGGATACATCTATTGAATCATCAAAACGAAACAGACATGAAACTGGAAACACCAGAGAACCTTGCCAATCTAAAAACTGTATAAACTGTTTAAATTTGTGTTCTAGCATTAGTCTAAATCAAGGAATCCACATAGGAAAGAAAAAACACAATGGTACAGCAATTTTCCACGCTAAACAAAAACTCATGCCGAAACAAACCAATAATGGAAAGAAAACTTACAAATGTAGTCAATGTGACAAATGCTTCACCAAGAAATGTGACCTTAGTATTCATCAGAGAATTCATACAGGTGAGAAACCTAACAAATGTAGCGAATGTGGCAAATACTTTACTCAAAAAGGCAGTCTTATTATTCATCAGAGAATTCATACAGGAGAGAAACCTTACCAGTGTAATGAATGTGACAAATGCTTTACCCAAAAATGCAGTCTTATTTTTCATCAAAGAATTCATACAGGAGAGAATCCTCACAAATGTAGTGAATGTGACAAATCCTTCACCCTCAAAAGTGATCTTAGAGTTCATCAGAGAATTCACACAGGAGAGAAACCTTACAAATGTAGTGAATGTGATGTGTCTTTTATCAAGAAATCCAATCTTAGAAGACATCAGAGAATTCATACAGGAGAGAAACCTTACAAATGTAATGAATGTGAAAAATCCTTTACCCACAAATGCAGTCTTAGTATTCATCAGAGAAGTCATACAGGAGAGAGACCTTACAAGTGTAGTGAATGTGACAAATGCTTTACCAACAAAGGATACCTTGTAAGTCATCAGAGGATTCATACAGGAGAGAAACCTTACAAATGTGATGAATGTGACAAATGTTTTACCCACAAATGCAGTCTTAGTATTCATCAGAGATCTCATACAGAAGAAAAACCTTACATATGTAATGAATGTGGTAAATTCTTTAGCCACAAATGTAGTCTTCACGCTCATCAGAAAATGCATACAGTACAGAAAGTTTACAAATGAAGTGAGTGTGTCAGATTATCTACCAGGAGTATCAGAAAATACATACTGGAAAGAAACCTCACAAATGTAATGAATGAGGAAAGGTCTTTACCTCTATTGCAGTTCTAAGAAAATATCTGAATATTTATAATGGGGAAAAGTTTCCAGCAGAAAAAAAAAATGGCATGTGATTTATCCAAGCAGTATTCTTTGCAACACTTGAGGCTCCACCTGGAGAATTATCATGAGTACAAGAAACTTGTGAACGTCTTTAAGTTATGTTCAAATCTTATAAGCTATGCTGGGAGAAACACTGAAAATGTGACATTGAATGAAATTTTTCATTACAACTCTTTAATTGTTTACACTCAAATATTTTATAATGATGACAAAATGGGGAAGCGAGAAGTATGTGGAATTGTGTAACAGTTTCCTAGAGACTGAACTAATCCATTGCAAAAGGAAACTGATTAAGGTGGGTAATACGGCTCTCAAAATAGATAGTTAATGTATGTTTATCTCAAATGAAAAACGCAGATATATTACTGTAGATTGATGTCTGTCTGCAGGTGAGGGCAAACAAAAGATAAGGCTAAAGTCTGTGATTAGGCAGTGTAAAATGAAGGCAGGCTGAGAGTTTTAGAGTAGGAACAGAGATGGACAAGGAGGGAGAGAGGAGGACAGAGATGAAGAGACAGGATGGAACTTATCGGAGAGGAAGATGAACCTGATCCATGTGGCTTTGAAAGAGTCACAGGTAGCTAATGATATCATAGAAGAGCTATAGAATAATATAGGCAATTTGCCCCATCTAGGAGTGTAGCTTGTGTTTATATCAATTGAGTCTTGAGTTCTTTGTGTGTGGGCATTTTGGGGGTTGAGAATTTATCAATACAAACTTGACTGATAAATTTCAAGCCTCTGGAGTTTTGACTTTATTGGATTATGGGGATTTGTGACAGCTAGCCACAGAGAGTGGATGGCTGGGAAGATACAAGTGGTTTGGATGCAGGTGAACTGAAACAGGGAAGACTGTGATTTACAGCTCCCAATGGGGGATGGGAGACTAAGTTACTGGAGCATAGCATTCGTAGTATAAACGAATTCGTTTTATAATTACATACTACAGATGGTGGTCCATGTGAGAGTTCAGAATCGACTATTAATTTAGGAATTCTCAGAATGATCATTCTGGGAAGCAGGTCTCAAAGGAGGGGAGAAGTGGTTTCTCAGCGAGAGGAAGAGTCACGTGGTAACTCAAGCATAGGAACCTTAAACAAAGAAACACAGGGGCAGGCTCAGCTCACAGGCTCTGAGATCCCCTCCTGTAAAAAGAGACAAAATGACTGCTCTGAGGCAGAAATCCAGAGAGTAAAAGCTGCCTGCTTCCTACAAGCTTGTAATCATAGGACAGAATTTTAAAGTTTGGTTAATTTGTTTTGAAAGATAGATAAAAATACAGATTTTGCCCATGTCACGTGAGGAATTCTGCCCATGATTCAGAACTAGTACAGGGAAAAATACATTGGCTCTAGGCAGAGAGCAACTAGGTTGAAACTGCCTGCTTCCTATAGGCAGATATTATAGAAGTGTGATTTATTTACTTTAAAGTTGGTATAATAAAGTCTGCAGGATAACTCATATTCTTCGAACGTGAGCTCCATGGGAATTTTTGGGTTATATATCCTGACAGGACAAATTAAGAAAAAGGCCTAAGAATAGGTTTATACAGTAAGCAAAAGATTTTTAAGGATAGTAGTGAGGTTGTATGAAAACAATTGTTTTAGGGAAGCTTTAAAGTCCTGTAAGGTAACTCATATTCTTTGAACATTGACTTCACAGGTATTTTGGGTTAATATCCTGGCATGACTAGAGAAAGCCTAAGAATAGGCTCATACAGTATTTGTGTAGTTTACTTCATTTGTTTTGAATTGTTTTAATTATCAAAATGGGTGTGATTTTGAGTTTTGTGGTTGTTTTATTATTCCTCTGGGAGAGAGGTCAAGCTAAAAGTTTTCCTGGTTACTGGCTAAAGGACATGCTGATTTAGGAGACAGGCTTTGTCTTTGTGGTTTTAGAAAAGATGAATGGACTCTACTTACCTTCTAGAGTTATATGGATCAGATTTGGTAGAGGAAGATCCACTGAAGAACTAGATTCAAGGGAATTAAACAAAAAACATTCTTTGTGCCATCCTTCACATGGCACGAATGAAGACTTATTATTAGTTATTATTAAAATTGGCTCATAAAAATGACTTTCACATGCTCAAAGAGCAGAAGTTCATCCTAATTAGTCTGTACATCCTACACAGACTACAACACCCATACAGATACGTTGATAATACTTAATTTTTGTTTTGAGATTTGTATATTAGAGAATATACAGCCTCGGTGAGATTATTCATCAGACATGCTGAACTGACCTGATTGAACTCCTGATGTCATAGATTTTCAGACAGAACCAGTCAGAACACAGACATCAGAGACTAATAACAATTGTTAGTGTGGCCTTCTTAAGCCCCTTTTTCCCTACTCTTCCCCCTGCCCTTCAATGATATCTTAACATCCATATTCAGCAGGAAGAAGTTATGAACAGTTGTCGTCCTGGTCCCTGGGCTTGGGTGTCTGGAGGTGGTTATTCTAAGGTTGTCTTTCTGGGGAATTTAGAAATAGTCATAACAGGGAAGGAATAGCTAACACTAATTGTGTAGCCATAATCTCATTTGTTAAAAATCTTTATAATTATTACTAAGTTGAGGTTATAATTTCTTACATTGGCACAGAATTTATTTTGATACAGAATTAAGGTTTTCATTGATATTAAAATTCTATTGATACAAAAATTTTAAGAATACAAAGCATAGATTCAGTCCTTTTATAACTGCCTTTACAAACTGATTTTATATAATTAAGCATACGAGCTAAGAGCCAGACAGCAAATTTATAGCTCTGAGTTAATTGTTATGGTGTTTTCAAGATATTTTAATTAGAAATAGCTGAGAGAAGTTAAGGACAATAGTCCAGATCACTTTGCATAGATAGTTTTCAATAATGTCAGAAATCCACAGAATGTGACATTTAATGTTATTTAATCATTTGTTGTTGAGACATGTCTGCTTCTGACAGCACTCCATTCTTGGTTTCAAAGAAGAAACTGAGCATCTATACCTCTGTACATTGTGGCAAAGTAGCTATTGGGCAGAGAAATTGCCTCTTCATCTACAGTCAAATTACTGTCCAGAAAAAGAACACACTATATGGAATACTTGACTGATTATCTTTGCCAAGACAGGGTAATTCAGTCCTTTATAATTCTGCATTCCAAAGGTCTGTCAGATGACCCTGGACTAAACAGCCACAATTTGATGCTCCAACATGTTGGATAACAGGGTACTGTATAAGTAGACAACTGTCTCTACAATTTCTTTCAGTTCTGGAAGCTACGTTAGGCTTCCTGTAATTTCAGGTAGATTTTATGTTGCTCCTGGAATTCTGGCGGGATTGAAGACTGATTGTAGTCTCATAGCCAATCCAAGCTGTTTAGCATTGAGAAAGATACAGATTTGAGAGGATGGTTTTCCAATAGTGTACAAGGTAAACCAGGACATAAAAGGTGTAGAATTATAAGCCTTTTTAAGTTAGGGTAACTAGATGGCAAAGTGCTTTATTTAGTCGACAAAAGTGATGAACTGAGTGTTAAGTGTATCTTATACTTTATAAATTATAAAATGGTAATAGTTGTCCTCAATTTATTTCTGAGAAAAGAACCTTTTGATTGGAGAAAAGGGGGGAAATGTAGATTGGTGTCTGTCTGCAGGTGAGGGCAAGCAAAAGATAAGGCTAAAGCCTGTGATTTGGCAGTGTAAAATGAAGGCGGGCTAAGAGTTTTAGACTAGGGACAGAGATGGACAAGGAGGGAGAGAGGAGGACAGAGATGAAGAGACAGGATGGAACTTATCGGAGAGGAAGATGAACCTGATCCATGTGGCTTTGAAAGAGTCACAGGTAGCTAATGATATCATAGAAGAGCTATAGAATAATATAGGCAATTTGCCCCACCTAGGAGTGTAGCTTGTGTTTATATCAATTGAATTTTGAGTTCTTTGTGTGTGGGCATTTTGGGAGTTGAGAATTTATTGATATAAACTTGACTGATAAATTTCAAGCCTCTGGAGTTTTGACTTTATTGGGTTATGGGGATTTGTGACAACTAGCCACAGGGGGTAGATGGCTGGGAAGTGTTTGGAGGCAGGTGAACTGAAACAGGGAAGACTGTGACTTACAGCTCCCAATGGGGGATGAGATACTGTTTTACTGGAGCATAGCTGACATTAGCATGGATTAGTTTTTAATAATTACACGCAACATATTATATGTCATGAAAATGGATTTCACAAATTGAGCCACCAAGATAGAATGTTCTTTATCCTGTTAATATGTCTACAGGTATGCAGTTTCCTAATAATGTCCAAGATTCGCAGCCTGTACCATATGATGTTTTTGCATTTTAGAATTTGTACTTTCTTTGAGTCTCTTTGGCTCTTGTCAACAACTCCTTGTCCATAGTCCTGTGTATAACTCCAATAAAGCTCATTGTTTAAACAAATTTGACTTGATTGTTTTCAGTTTCCACTTGGGAGAATATATATATCTACCTCTCATATGGGTTGCTTAATACCATAGGAAAAAAATCTATTTCCAATGGTCTTAGGACTGAGACACTATTCCTTTGTATCCAGGGGAGTTTGCCTGCATTAGAATACTTTAAATTATATGACACTGCTGTTGCATTAGGAACATTTGAATCATTGTATTAGAGAGACTGCATTTGTATTAACTAAAAGAGTGAAGATTGTGTTTAATGTTCCAGGCTTACTTCCATAATAGTACTAGGTTAAGTTAAAATGGCTCCACACAGACAGAGTGTAGAGTCTTTGCAAACCTGAGAGATCAGGCTGTTCTCTTTCTTGAATTCAAGAATGAGTGAGAGAAATATCCACTAAAGAATAAATGAAAATAGGACTTCAAAATTGTCAGTGACAGACGTCATCCACTGGGCTGTCACTTCATGGATCTTAACTCATCCTAATACCCCT